TCTGCATCAACATTATGAATATATTTTATCCAAGCCGATTTTGGTAATAAAAACATCTGCTCCCTTCATCTAGTTGTTGCAAGTTATCAATTAGATTAAATAATATAACTAAGTATGACATGTGTGCATGGTATAAAAATCTATATCCAATAGAGAATAGCACAAATTTTTAATTCATATTAATCATCATTTTGATTCAAATATAATTTAACTCGATCAAGTGCGGAATATTGTTGGTGGTCTGCTCTTCCTCATCTTTCCTAACTTGATAATTGTGTACTCACTTGTTGGATTCACGTGTTGTAATCTCTGAGCTTGATGCTGAATTGCAACATCATTCCCTCATTTTTGTAGGACATGAGAAGGTGGTGTACCTGTAATTCTATCGTTGTCTTGGAATAGCCTTTCAGTCGATCTTCAAAAAAAATCGAGCTCTCACGCTACCCATAACAACAAAGTCAGTCTCTCTTGTTTTGTTCGCAAACTCGAAGGTTGATCCTGAATCTGTATAATATTGTTAATAACATAAAAAAACAACTAATATCGTTGAAGTACATGTTATTTTTTTGGAGTTAAATAAAAAAAATCTCAAAATTATTCAATCAATAATGCGAAAATAGTCTCATTAGGCACGACAGGTGGGCAGAAGAAAAACGTAGCCTCATTCTCGTATCCATTTTTTAATCTAAGACACCAATATCTTGGATTCTCTTTACGTTAACCATACTTAATTTAAAATTATAATATGTATGTAAGCTTCTGCCTGTATAAGTACCATGCATTGGTAATTATTAAGGGAATTATTTTTTTATGTAATCTTTGAATTGTAGGAAAATAATATAAATTATGTATTGGAAAATGAAATATTCAATCATTTGGAATGTGTATTCATCAACGAACTATATCAAATCAAATTTCATGTTCTTAACCTTGAAAACTCTGCATTTGAAAGAATACATATTTCCCTACATATTAGAGAAAGTATTAGTATTTGATAGTTAATGGGTTGTAAATCGAAATTAATGCTTACCTCTTCTCCATCTTTCATTTTTAAGTGATTGAGCTCATGTAGTATTTTGGTTGGAATTGCTTGTTGAGTTTTTCCGGTGTGTTTCATTGAAGGAACTGGTGCATCGCCGTCACTTTATTAATGTTAAATAATCTCTTTTTTTCTTTGAAGTTCAAACTTATAACCATAAACGAATATAAAGATTAAATTATTGTGAATTTCACCTTGAACCAAAATTAATGCTTCCGGAATTTTTGGATTTGCCAACAGCAAGGTTGCTCCTATAAAGTAGAAGGTGTTCTTGCCTGCAGATTTGACGATTTTTGAATTAACTGTCATTAATTTATTTGCAAATGCTTGTATTAATTATAAATTAATTTAGATGTGTCCTTACCATTGTACTTATTGACATATGATGACGTAATGAGCAGGATGATAGGGTGATCACCTGCATTTGCAAGGATGACATTTAATTGGGTAACTATCCTACCAAAGAGAGTTAGCTTGACAACTAATCCCCTTTACCCAAATTATATATTACATTTTCTATTAGAGGTCAAGTAATGCATGCTATTTTAAATGAAAGGCCAACAATTACATACCCGGGAAGTTTTAGATGGAGCTCTTTGATGGTAACTTTTCGAGTGAGTCTAGTAGTTGTCACTAAATCTAAATGTTGAATAAGCCGGACAACAACATCTGTGGAATGAAAATTTTAAAAAGCTAATGTTTGTGGTTTTATACGCATAAAATTGAAGTAATTTTTAATTGAGAATACCCGAAGACGATTATAACGATTTTCGGCAAGTTTGATATTCTCAACAATCTATTTCTCTTAGTTTGTAAGTTATTCATCTCATTTTGAAGTCCTGTATAGGAATCATTAAAAGAAGCAATCCTAGCATCTAACAGATAATTTGATAACATATAAATAGAAAACAAACATTGAAATGATAAAATACCAGTAAGAATGTTGATAATTTTTTCATATATACGCTTATGCCTTTTATAAAGAGCACGTTTCCTTCTTGCTAATTTGGTCAATGGTTGATCAATCCTCTTTTAGCTCTGTAGAGTGTCCTGTGTCCGACTTGTAATTTTTGTGTTTGGTGGAACTTGTTTGTCTACCTTCTTTCTTTTTTGCTGTTTCCTCTGGGTCTTTTTTTTCTTCTAAGCTCTTGAACATTTTTTTGTACTTTGGTTTATTAACTCTCGAAGTCAGGCGAAGCTAATGGTGGCCATGAATTGTGTTGTAGATACTTGAGGAAGAAAGCCCCAATCTCGAATCTGAAGAACATTGCCAAGGTTGGCCAGAACTTTCAGTTCAAGCTACCATTTTACGATCCAATTTGGGAGCGATTCTGTGATGAATATGAGACCAGGAAGGCCAAAGCTTTGAGGTCAAAGCTTTTTTATGGGGGAGGGACTGATATGATCTCAATTTGGCCATTAAAACGACTGGAATTGATCGATCATGAAGGCAAGCTAGACACATTAGAAACTACTGATTTTGGTCCAAGTGTTTGTGACGATTTCAGGTACCCACTTTGGACGAGCATAACTCTCAATGGGTGTGATAGAAATTTGAGTTCTTTGGCTTGTGTTGAAGAAGAGGAGCTTCTCTTTCAATCGGTATGCTTTGGAGCTCAAGGGGAAGTCGAGAAGCTGAGCTTCCGAGGTGATCAATATGCTAGCTCAACACTGGAGGAACTGCCAGATTTGTCTAAGTATGGAAGCAGAGTTGGGAAGGGATCTTTGAAGCTCGAGTTGAGGAAGATGGGAAAGAGTCGAGCCTCCACATTCGCACCACATGAAAGCTGGTTTCTTCTAGTGTATCGACAAGGTATTGGTTGATCAAGGTGATGTCTAAAAGGGCTCGAACGATGGGGCTAAAGATCGCTTCGAGACTGAAAATTCTGCCTGGAAGACTAAGTAATCCGAATCCTAGTCGGATTAGGATTAGTAGACAGTTTAGCTTAATTGGTTTCCACGTCTTGTTTTGCTTCCTTTTCCAAGTAGAATTGTAACTGAACTTCTTTAAACGTTGTTAGCAATTGCTAGGTCTATTTAAGTGGAGTTGATTAATTGTAATAGTTAGTTTTTGATCAATTGAATACAAAGTTGAGCTTTGATTCATCTCGCTAGTTGCGTGAGGAATTGAGTTGGATTGCTTGGACGATTCTAAGCAATCGTGAGCTTGTATCGATCAGTTCATCACCCTGATCGTGGCCAAGCATCGACCTAAAGGTTTCGAGCCTCTTTCCCTTGTGAGAGTTGCACGAAAACTCTCCATCCAAACTACAAAACAACTCTGTTTTGTGAAGGTTCTTGTTTGAGACAACAATCCGAGGTTCTAGACCTCTTGGCTGCGTAGCTTTGATCATAAACCCTGCCTTGGGGTTTATCATTGAAGCATTATTTGGTCGTTTGGAAGACTCTCACATGAAGTATTTCTTCGAAGCATAGAACTACAAAGAGTAGCCTTCAAAAAACATTTAGTCTAAACCTTCAGTGATCGATCTTTTCTTTCTTTCTTTCTTTTCTCCTATCGTTTGTTTGTATTGTTGTTGTAAGAATGCTACGTACTACATAGTATATAAATGCTCATGTAATCGACCACCTATAAAACTAAGATTATATAAAAACATTAATGAAACCCTAATAGAGAACAATTCTGTGTGGAATTGAAAATCCAATGGAAAAAAAGAGAGCAAGTTATACCATAAAAACTTTATTTAACAGCGAGCTAATTAAAGTATATGTATATGTATTATCACAATATTATCACATTACTATTATCACAATCAAATTTCATTTTCATAAAATTAACAGGTGTCCAACCCCATTAACTATATCTATAATGTATAAGTATATCTATAATGTATATGCAATACTACACCATATAAGACACCATAATATTTTTTTAATTAACTTGATGTGATAACGTCAGTAAATAGAAATTAATATTTCAGAGTGCTCATATATGTTCATCAACTGTCATCATTCCATAAAATTGACACAGATTTTCTTCTGATAAATTAAAAGTCGAAGCAACATCCAAGATTCAGATTGAGTACGATTCGAAACTAGAAACCAAAGAAATCGTTGGATGAAGAGGAGAAAGATCGGGGTGGAAAGGAGGAAGGAAGTTCTGGGTTTGCTCGAAGGAAGGAGCTCTTTAGAGCTTGTCGGAGAGGAGGAGAGAGCGTAGGAAGAAGAAGAGGGAGATTTCTTTTAATTTTTAGAATTTTTTTCTTAAATTTTCTTAATTATTTATTTTATAAAATTAAAATTAAAATATGATATGGCGACTACCACGTGAGAGCCAAATCAGCATCGTAAAAGGCTTAGTCATCATTACTAACGGAATTGCTAACAGAGAGTTAACATTTGGCTAATAATTTGTATTCAATAATTGAGACTATAATTTCCCGCTTCTTAATAATTACGGATAATATATTGCATTTACCCTACATTTAATCCAAGACATTGGTTTTATTAACGTAAACCTTCTTTGGTCATAAGCTCGTCTTTATAATATGTCCATAGTGTGTTACTTTATTAGGTAGCTAGCTATCAAAATTCGGTAGGTCACTTTTCAATTACAAATTATACAAGAAATGATCCAACCGAATTATTGATAATTTGATGAATAACATGTGTGGGATTTCAAAATTTTATTAAATTTTGAAGGTTGCTTGGATGTGGATAAGAATGTCAGAACTCTTGCACAGAGCAAGGCAGACTGCTGATTCTGAGTAGCTGGAGTACATAATAACTTTAGACAGTAAAATGAAGAACATATAGTCTTAAGTTTGAGGAGAATAAAATACTAGACAATCCTGTAGCCTATAGAGCACGAATACTGAACAGGCTCATTCCTGCCCAACAACGTGCTTCAATCCTTTCTTGTGACAAAAGGAGCAACAGCATCCTTTATTCTGGAGCAAGGTCGGGGGAGGGAATTTGTCATAAGCATACAATTGAGAATCAGAATACTGAGCAATAAGTTGATATTGATATTTAAGTCGATGGTCATAAACCAACTTACAGAACTGAACTGATGGCAGATATACATACTAGAAAAGAGTTTTGAGTGCAGATCATGAACATCAAGCACACTCACTCAAACCAAACATATGTGAGTTGTGACTACTGATAGCAACAGATAATAAATAACATACCAACATGAGAGAAAAGATTCAAACTCCTGATACTAGCATGGAGTGCAAAATAAGTTAAAACAACGTTAGGTCGGTAGCTAGCAACATAAGAATTTACTACTTCAGAATCAACATCTGAGGGTGTACGTCAATGAGAGGTAACGCGAAGCCAACTTCATTTTTCGCCCGAGTCTGGTGAATCGGGGGTCATCACCTCGTCCTCTGCAGTTTCGTACTCGAACTTTTTCCAATCATCGACCGTGTTCTTGCCGTACACGCAAATTTCCTCGGGTGGATGCTCGATTTCCTCCGGACAATAGATGCAGGCTTTGTGGAGTTGATCTAAGCAAAATCAGCACTATAATCATTATTATCTTCATCCATCGACCTATTTGTTTACAAAGTTTCTAAGTAGTATCCTAAGGTCTAAACCGAATACAATTTGTTCTTTATGTACGGTTGAATCGGAGTACTTACCACTACCAGGTGCAAAACTCTCCAAGTCGATGCAAGTCGGAACTTCCAAACGTCCACCATAGTATGTGACAGTCTCCGCGAAAAACCGGTGGGGGCAGGAAGAAGGGTTGTTCTCCTCCCTAGCAGTGAAATTGAAGTGGGTGACAATTGCAAGGTGAAACAGCGTTTTACAGCTACGCCTTGGCTCATCGAGCACATACTTAACACCCTGCATCACGGCAAACCAAAATCCATATTAAAGCTAAGCAAAGCAGAAATTCAATCTAACGGCAACAAGTTAAGTGAGGAGTTAATTATTGGGGGAACGTAAAGCGCTAGCCTGGGAACTAAGAAAAACAAGACAAACCCTAATCATGTGCTACTGTTTCTACCTTGTTCTTCTCGTTGTAAGAGTCCAAGGCTTCCTTGGCAATCATAGCGGTTTCCCTTCTCGTGATTTCCCGTTCTTCTGCGGTCTCATCATCGGAGTCAAACCACCTGCAATGTAAATGAGGACACCCACTAGTAAAAAAAAAACCTAGCTAGCGGAGAACAAGCAAACAAACAAAATAAAGAAGAACAAAATTCACCTACCACATTGGTTCTTCCGGGTCTCGGCCAATCACCGAACATGCCACCATTTGTTCATAAAATTTGCTGTTGCGATTGCGACCGTGTTCATCCAATGATACAGGCAACTCGTCGTCGTCGTCGTCGTCCTCCTCCTCCTCCTCCATAGGATCGGCCGCTAGCTTCTCTTCTCCTGACGCCGGATTTATAAGCGCATACGGCGACGGCAACGGCTCTACCACATCACGCTGATCAGGTCGGCCTTGGGTCTTTTGCTTTTTGGGTGAAGGAGGTTCTTCCGTCGCTTGGACTTCCGCTCGATCGTCGATTCGAGAACGGGAACTGCTTCCGGCGGCTGTCGCAGGTCGAGACTTCGCCATCTGGAAGCGAGGAGTCGCGGTGGCCGGTGTCTGGGAGAGATCGCCGATCGGGCGCTCGGGCTCGGCTGACCGCTGTTCTTCTTCCCTTTTCGATTTCGCTGCTACGGGCTAGCCTAGGGTTTTTGGTAGAAGCGAAGGCCGAAGAGAAAGAGTTGGGAGGCTTTGGGAATTGGGAGTGGAAGTAGAGTGTGGCCTGTGGGTGTGGGAAGAATGGAGCTGGGCCTCAGGATTTCTTAATGCTAAGTTGGGCGGGCATTGGACAGTGGGGAGTGGGCTGTAAAATTGGGCTGGCCTGGGGGGCAGATCACAATGCCGTGCAGCTCCTCCTCTCTCTCTATTGATATATCGCGATCGTTGTCGCAGGGTTTCCGTCTCCCACTGGGAAGGGAATTGGGTGGGCCTTTTTAGGAAGCAGAAGAAATATCTAAACCAATACTGGCCCATTAACAGCCCACACTTACTTTTGCTCCTCTTTCCTACTTCGTAGAGAGTACAGTTACAGCCACACTTCATTTAGTATCATGTATTTAGCAGCCACACTTCATTTGTATCATGTTTGCGTGATCGAAAGTTAATTACCGGCTATGCTGTCTTCTATGTTAAAATTTTGGTTACTTGGTCAACTAAAAAAACAAAAAGTCGTCTCTCACTCATCTACGGATCGTGAATATCGGATTTTTGCAACGTTGGCATCAGAGGCGATATGGTATCAGGTCTTAATCTCATAAATTAGCCAACCAGTTACTCCCTCTCCTGTTCTATGGTGTAATAACTTGGGCCCCACGTACTTGCTTCACAATCCAGTGTTTCACTCTCGGTTCAGGTATTTGGAGATTGAATTTCATTTTGTATGCGATCAGGTCAACAAAAATCAGCTCCATGTTTGTTATGATTTTTTTAATTCCAAGTTAAAACGAATGTTATAGCCGATTGAGAAAAACAGAGGATTGGAAAAAGTGCAATCTCCCTCATATGTTTAGGACTCTCAATGCAAAAAAAGGGCGGAAGGTACAAATTTACCAATTCACCTCTCTTGATTTTTATTCTGGAAATTAATTTGGTCCATTATATAGTAAATGAATTGGACAATGGGTGATGAGACTTTGAACGATATAGTTTCCAGATCGTGGAAGGTCGGAGAAAAATGAGAGGCTTGTTCGGGCATACACACGAAGAAGCGGGCACATCATATGTGACATGTTATGTTTAGACTGCCCACTTTCCGTCAATCACGTGGTCAATCCTAGTGTTAGAAACCAATTTCTTTAGGATTTCTACATTCATTATTATAATTATTAGGGTAATTATCAACAGAGTTCGTAGTCATTTAGCATAATTAAGTTAATTGTTAGGATCTTCCAATATTCCATATAAACACAGACTCTAAGATCTCGTTATTAGGAATCAAGAAAGTTAAATCCAAAATTATCTCAGTCCTAGTCTATCATTTTCTCGCGATCTCGTCTATCTCTCTCTCCAAAAGTTTCGGCCGTTCTTATTCAAATCCCTAAATCTTCTAATTTCCAATTTCATTCGAAATCCCCAATTATCCATCAATTCCCACAAGTGACAACACATCAGTTAGGAATCCTAGCAAAAGGTTTCTAAAACCTAGCCACATGAATCACCTAAAAAAACTGAGTACAATGAACACCCACATGCCCTATGACGATCTCGATAACCCTGGCTTTCAAACTATACTCATTTAAATCATCACATTCCTTCAATTCCCCATGTTTCCTCTTCACATGCAAATACAACACATTCTTCCATAATTGCTTACCCCCATTCATCAATACCCCGAAGGCATAACATATATAAAGCGTCATCACAAAACAACCCCCCACCTCCAAGACAGCATTGCCTTCTTGCCCGCGTCACCGCTACATTCATCCGTCTACGATTACTGAGAGACCCAATCTGAATATGATCCATGAAGATCAGTAAGGTCATCTAACCGTTTAGCGACGAGATTCGTGGTAGTTTGGAGGGGCAGGAAGTTGTTATATATACCCTGAAATGCATAAGAAGAAGTGTGGCTTCTATTGAAGTTGACTTAACAGCACCCTCAAGAACGTATAGTGCACATGCTGCAACACTTGAATGGGCTTCGATCTGGATGATTTATCGCTGAAGTTGACAATTAAAAAGTGTTACAGCTCATTTGATTACACTAATAAGGCAAAACTAAGAATAATATCTTACCTTGTTGTCATATAGCTCCTTAGAGGACCAGTGCAATAATGATCTAATGCATGCTATACTGGACAATAAGCATAGATGTGAGTTCATCGCCATAGAGCTCTGCTAGACGATCAATTAGGATTCTTCCTAAACCTTTCTTGTCTGCTTCAACACTTTGGATGGTCTGAGGAAGACGAAGGTGGTCACCAGCAAATATGCATCTTGAGCCCTGACAAGAAAATGCCAATTACTAAATTGTAAGAGTTTAAATGTAAGAAATGTAATAACAAATCTTATACAAGCCTACTGCTGAAAGTAATTTGCGAGCAAGCAATTGTTACTTTCAAGATGTTGATGAAAAATTCCAATTTCAAGACCCCATTCGGGTGAGTCGGTGGAAAGGATGTCATTTTAGCGAGAAGCAAGAAACAGCTGACAATTTGTTGTACCTTCAACAAAGGCATCCAGCAAGCAATCTCAAGTGCTTGAGCAGCTACATCAATAATCACCAAATCAAATGATGTCGAGTCCAGCTTGCGAGAAGCAGCACCACTCAGAGTACGTAGTTAACACCACATTTGCAGTTTTAGTCACATCCATAACAGCCAGCTGCTGCCTTTTACCCTCTTCTTTTCTGAGGATTCTCAGCTCCTCCTGGATCTCCCTTCTAGTGTTTTTTTTTTTCTTTGGTCTTCAACAGCTTCCCATTTAATGCCTGGGGTGGGGAAGAAAAAAAAGTCAGAGTGAGTAGCAGATCATCAGGAACGGGTGAAGGGTTGATAAAATTATATTGTTCAGCATAGTTTCACTGAAACCAGAACACCTAGAATTGTAAGGGATTCCCATTCACAATGTTATAATAAAATTACCATTACATTACAATAAACACTGTCTCTCCTCTGGTGGGTAGTACTGTCACTTGATGTTATAAAATGACCCTGATATAGGTTTTTATAATGTTTTACCATCTAATCCATCCATTTGCACTTCATTTATTGAAATATTTATTTCCTGACCGGCTCAAAAGTTTTTCAAATCATATAGCATGCTTAAGAGAAATTTAAACATTAACGAAGAGGACAAATAATCTGCTGCCAGTTAAAATACTAATTCAACGTTACACCTTCATTTCCTTCCGGATGTCATTAGACAGTTGCCGTCTCCACGTAGTACCTATCATGGGAGAAAAACAAATTAGAGAGATGCAGTAACAAAGTCAAATGATGTATACTAAAATAGGAATAGAATTATTTCGTGAACAAAAGAAATTGTGATTGGATAAAATTTTACAAGTTGTAAACAACATGAATTTGGAAGCTTCACAGAATATTTTCATTCATATGATAAGCAATTCATAAATGCTTGCAACATCAAGCTGCAAAAGTTGGTTATATAGGATAAAGCCAATACAATCAAACTCCAGAGGAAGTTCGCATGGGAACCACTCATAGGAAGGCTAATCTAGGTGCACATGGTTCTTAACAAATCAAGGAATTAAAAGTTGCACAAATCTACAGATTTGCTGCCGAATACCTTACCAGCTCATCAAGGGCACTATCTAGTACTCGAGGTAGTAAATGTGTTTGATGTCCCAATCTCACCAACTTTACTTTGGCACAAGAGCAAAATCGAGAAAGGCGAAAAACATGAAGCTTTTCTCAAAAGTATACTAATTTGTTAAAGAATATTTGCAGAAGGCACTCCAGAGCCTGTCCTCTGGCGAAGAACATACTTATAATTCGAATCTGATTAAAATATAGATGCTCTTCTCAATGGTGACAAGCTGTAACGATACCTGTGAGGAACAAGTCGCTCAACAATGTAATCAACAGTAATGTTGGAAGCAGCACATGCAAGAATCTTTGATCCACGTTTCACTTCTTGTAAAATTATCTCCATCAGAGCGGTTATTTTCCCCGTTCCAGGAGGCCTGTGCAATAAAAACACGTTTTTTTATTTTATGACAGCACTTGAACTGCATATTTCTTGAGCGTGCAAAGGATAAAACAAAACAAAGTCCAGCCCGATTTTGGCGACCAAAACGTATATCAAGCAAAGAAGTTTAGTTCAAAGGTCATACGTAAGAGAAAACTCAGGATCATGCATGTCTCGGACTTATCAGCCTAAAATTGTTCAGATGGCTACACCTCTTCAACTAGAAACGAAAAAACTTGTGTTTCCATCCCAATCTTGTAACAATCAACAGTCACAGAACAATGGGAAACATAGAAATCACGAGGGTGCACAATTGAATTGGCCATGAAAATAAACAGTGAATAGATACTCTAATGCTCAAAACTACCTGTGAGTGATCGAGGTCGGAGTTAAATTGAGTGAACGTAGCATCCTTCTTTGACAAAGTAGGCTGTCTTTCAACAAACACAACTGGAACTAAATCTGAAGCAAGGCCCTTGTCCACACCTTTACTCAATTGTATCAATGCGTCCTTCATACTACGATATGCTACCTGCATAGTTAAGCAAACAGAAATAGTTGTTCAACAACTACAGTTCTCTAATTGAGGATCGATGTATCCCCAATGATCACTCTCAAATGACATGGATGCAGTTTCTGAAAAATCCTACTACGAAAAAGGAATTTCCCCTTACAGAGCTTAACAAAGAGTTAAACCATGATGAGGTACACAAAGGGGGGAACCGAAAAGAAGAAATGCTACGTCATTAGCAACGTTCTCAAGTCGTAGCAAACTATTCAAACCATCTTCAGGCATATCATCAAAAGCAACAGTGATAGAGGTGACATGTTCAGTATGTAAGTAAATTCACTGGCAGGAGTCACAAAATCAATCAATAACGGCCGAAATGCTTCCTACTCTTCCCAGTGCTCACCAAACGATACACCACGCCCTGCCGAAGGCCAGCATACCCTGAATCAGCCTTGTTTCAGAATAACCATATCATGGATGCCAAACTGAAAGCAAGAGTTCGTCATAAGGAACAAATCCATTAACAGTTGAAAGCAAGTGATGGATTCAGGGAATGGAAAGAGAGTTGTATGGTTGTCATTTTAATTATCAGTCACCTTATTAGCATTTAGCAGCAACTTTGTCAATTTAATAATACACCACTAGACTTTCAGCCCAATTGATTTATCCTGACAGCCCAACTTTACACTTCAAACTAATCCACTCTTTTGCAGCCCACCAGTAAAATGAGTTTCTTTTAGTTTCAGCCCACTCAATCTATCTTAGTAGCCCAAGTTCTAGTATTGAAACTGACCCAGTTTTGGACTAAAGGAAACGGTGCTGTTTTGGTTCAAAGTTCAAACACAACACCGCCGGGAATTTTCGATCAAAAGATACCCTGGAAATCAGTTCTACAAGAACAAAGCAGGAACACCAACTATTTTCAAAGCCAGCAAGTAAAACATAGAAAACTCCAAGCTGAGATTAAACCAAACCAGTTGGTGTAGCAATCCAAAGATCGGTCCAGTAGTTCGCTTAGACGTCCTTTCTCCTTGCCAACCTCCAATCAAGCTCCCCTGCAAAATGGAACCAAAGATAACACACACACGGCAGCACAAACCTGGAAATTTAAAGACAAACCAGAAATGACACAAGTATGATTTTCATGTGAATTCAAGTATTGAGAAAATAATTCTCTCAGCATTGACTACTCCACAATCGGTGATCTCCGACTATTTACTAAAGGATATGTCTTGAAGCTATTTGGTTTTACAAGCAAACACTCTTTGCTTGCACCAAATTCCCTATTAAATGTACTACATGGAAGCTAGTTGTTGATGTTCAAATACTTCCCTCACATCAACTACACCTATACATATAAGCTATAGATATATTTGGTTCCTTCCTCCCCTGCATGCCGCAGCAATCACCATCAAAAGTCAGTTCCTCCCTTGTATTCAGCTCCCCTACAGGTAGCAGCAAACTAATCAATCACCAAATGAACAAATTAAGCTTACGACCATATGACAAGGAATACACATACCCATTGCTTAATTACATCTCTCGAGCACTGGCAGGTAAAACGACCTGAACGCCTCCACGGAGACCTTCCTAAAGCCTTCCACCCAAGCTAACCTGCCCTGTGATTCTTGTACTTCGAAGTAGTCAATACCTTTATCTGTGCAGAATCCCACGATGCACACAGCATGACCTCTGTATCTTTTGTTCGAAGGGTTCTTCGAAGCTTCCAGTGCCTTTGCTGCGACTGGATCAACTTCTTCAGGAGGCTGTTGATCCTCGGGAGACAATTGGGTGGGCCCATATGGATCGTCTACCTTCGGAGGCCTTCGTTTATCATCTTTGCTCAGTGGTACATTTTCTCCTGCTGCAAGGTATGGTCCACCATCGAGATAGTCATAGAGAACACGAAATCCTCCCATAACCGGACCATCCGACTTCAAACTCTCCTTAACAAACTCTACGGCATTTGGTTGGTCCTTCGGAAGCACTTCCTCGAAATCGATGAGCTTATACTTCATAAACTTCTCGTCCTTGGAGCTCTCCGCCGTTGGAAGAAGCCGTGAGGTGTTACAGTAGAATTTGTGGAAATATAACCGACGATTACCTTCCCCGTAAGCCCAATCCTTCTCTCTAGCCCACAGCTTGTAGGCGGAGAACCTAGCAAACTCTAGGTCGGATGACTTCTTAGACCTCCTGATCATGATTCGGGCTCTAGCGTCTGCTACATCGCAGAAAGCCCGATAAACGCAGGTATCTGCACAAAACCTAACAATTAAACAATGCATCGAAAGACTTGATCAAGGCATTTAAGTAAAGGTTAAAGTAACCACATACTGTGCCGAGCTGTTCGGATGGGTGAAAGCACTCCCCTCTTTCTCCATGAGAAGCTCTTTGGGGAAGAAGAGCTCGTTCCACCTTTGGTCATTGCCGACTTGCCGTCTCTTGATGGTCAGAAAATGCGGGACCGAGGTGGAGGGAATAGGGGAAGACGAAGCCGAAACGAGCAGAGCACGAAAGAGACGCCGCCGGAATAGGAGAAGACGAAGCGATCGAATAGGGTTTTCAAGGCATAAGAGTGAGAGTGAGATGGAACAAAAGGAATTGTTAAAAATTTATCTCTAGCAGAGCACGAAACGCAATCATCTTTCTATTTTCTTTTTTAGCCCTCTGATTAATTACCAATCAGTCACTCAAGTTATAAAACGCAAATCTAATAAGTTCCTGGTCTTTTTTTTTTTTTTTTTTTTGTATAAGTAGGTCATATTGATTTGTTAGAGAAAAATAGTCTGATTTATAGAAACTATGTTGGTTTATATTGAAAGTTTTTTCATTGTATATTGCACATTAAATTAAATTCTAATGAGAAAATAGTATGATTTGTAACGTTAGTCAGTCGTATGAGTTTGTATAATAACTAGTCACAATTTGTAATGTAAGTAATCCTAATTTGTAATGAAAGTAATTTCAATCTGTAGTGTAAGTCTTATTTATTTGTACAGTAAGTAGTCATAATTTGCAACGACAAAAGATTGTGGCTTATGATGTAAATTGGCATGGTTTGTCATGAAAGTCATATTCCTTTGTACGTTTATTTATTATGTAAATTTATCTCGTTTATAATGAAATACCATTCATTAATAGTTAATTTGTAATGACAAAACATTAACTGCAAAATGACTATGAATAATTTTTGAAGAACACAATGTAATTTGGAAAATATTGAAATGGCTAATACTTTTATATATTACCATAAAAAAATCTGTCTGAGCGAAAAAGTTTGAACATGAAGCTCACATGAAAAATTATTCAAAAAATATATATTAACAGGAAGGGAAAAGGAGAAACACTGCTTTGAGCTTAGTTATGGCATCCTCAACCCTGAAAAGTGATTAAATGGTCACAACATATATGCCAGGCTCTAGCATCCTAGTTACCATTATACAAAAGTGCATTGTGAACTTAAGCATGCCAACTTAATCGACCTTGATTTAAATGGACTCCTCATCCATCCTGCTGCAGAAGTTGTGGGCGCTGAGATTGATCGTTATTCAACAACAGTAATCGGCACAGAGCTCGAATGCTTCTCCCCCAAGGAATGTCGTGGAGCTCCATTGTATCGGTGGTGGATTCAGGAGTATCAGAACAGAGTCTTTGTAAGAGCCCGCATCTTGGAAGGACTGCAAACTGCAGCTAAGAACAGCAAAAATCAGTTGGGTACAGGGAATCCGGGAATTTGGAACACAGTGTTGTCATTGTTTTATTTTTCATCAATTCTTACCGATGAAGCAAGTAAGTAATGCCGTTGATTCTGATTCGATGTCATCACTGGGGGATCTCTGATGCCAAGGACCTTTGTTTCAAAAGCATATTCAGTTAATCTTGAGTAGATATAGAATTGCAGTGAGCTTCACTTAACATCAGAATTTCGGATCACTACAAAAAAAACTGCTTATGCCGTTATTTTCAGGAAGTAATATATACCACCTTTACTGTGACTTTGACGCAAGACACAGAAGATTAGGGCGAGAAGCTATCTAATGACCTTAGACTCAAACAGTTGCTGGTGACAATGGAGAGAGAGAGAGAGAGAGAGAGAGAGGAAGGAGAAAAAAGTGAATGCTTGGCTTAAAAAAAATTCTCCAGAAAAGAAAATCCACTGTTACTGTCAAAGCTCAAACTTGTAACTGCAGTTTCATTTGACTTGTTTATAGCAGCTTCCTGGGTTCTAAGTTTGGAGAAGGTAAGACAGAAAAAATGGCGGGCAAAAGTCTCGAAGTAAACCAAAGGAAAGGGACAAAAAAGGGGTGATCTAGTAGCTGCAACACCAGATGGCTAACATTTGCAGGGAATTTGTTCATCGTCATATGATGCATGAACAAAGGCGAATCAAGGAAAGTAAATGACAAAATGGTAGCAACTAGATAATAATTCACGGAGAAATCATAGGGAACTCACCTCTTCTTTAACTTTCACTATGGAAAAACAACCTTTCGGACATGGAACATGCTAGTTTTACCTGTCCAAAAGAAAAGCAATTGGTGTCATTTGGCTTTAAGCCTTATACCATGCAATGCCATATGAAGCTCTTGCAAAGCTTGCAAAGAAGTTGAACTTCATAGAGAAATATGAGATTGGACCTTCATTAAATAGCTCTCCCTTTGAGTGCATGTGTACATTTTGCAATCTTGTGCTATAAACTCCTGCAGACCTCAAACAAAGAAACTGAAAGTTCTGAGGACATAGATGCAACTTAGGTCAGATCCACCCCCTGGCAATATATACAAAATGGGCGTTTGCCTTCATTAAGAAAAATCAGCATCCCTAGTTCTCATATCTCAGTCAATAAAATATTTAATTATGATACTGTAAATTGTCCGGATGAGTGTTGGTGATTGCTGAGTACACTCCAACAAAATAATACCAATATGATGTGTACGTACTTGCAATTAATGGTGGAAGATTTATGTGAAAAGTAATTCTACTGAGTACTGACCAACCAATACAAGCATTTAATGCATGTGATATTTTGGCAACTAATATGACATTTATACACCATAAGGTTCCAACTAACATATTGAACTTGATTTTCCAAGTTTACACATTGCGAATCAGGCAACCTGGGCATTGGATGCCATAGATGGTAGCTGAAAACTTTAAGTATAATTTACGTCCCATTATTGTAAGGATCACAAAAGACAATCATCAATTCATCATCCATATCTAATGTCTGTCTACCTATCCACCCATCGATTGCTCTTGTTGTCAAGATCGAAGAAATTTGCTTTATAACCGTTCTCTTTAGGTGTACTAAAGACTAAAGAGGGTTGGTACTAGCTAGTATATTGGTCCAGGGTGCCCTAACCACCATTCTTTGGTTGGAAACCTAAGCCATCAGCAACGGTGGGGTTAGAAAAACAGCTGCCAGAGCTCATATAGCTAAGCATCAAGTCCTAGGGGGGGAAAAGGGCAGGCATTTGGTTCTTAACAGGAAACTTGAAAACCAACGTTGGCTTTCATATTCAGAGATAGCTAGCCAGCTTCACAAGTTCTCAACACCATACATGAAACTATAAGTAAAAAAGCAAACAAAAGAATTGAAAATGCTTATGTCATGCCTGGTTATCAACCCAGAATCACGGCCATCCATGATACAAAATTTTCATTCTTATTGGATGCTAGCCATCCCAAACGCCAAAACCACATTGGGAATGTACATAAGCATTTTCAATAAGGACTTTGATAACGAAGAGATGTTGTCAATAAGGACTCATAGAGTTTCCAAAGCTTTTCTCCTTGTCCATATCCTATTGGGATTTTGTTCTTCTCTCATAAAAAACACATTGCAGCAAATTTTGTTCGTTTTCCCCCATTATATTAACAGCAGTAATCTAAGATATCATTTCTCCCCACCCTGTATTGCAGCAATGCAGTACAGAATCTTCTTCAGCATGGAACAGAACAAAAGAGCACCTAGGAGGCTTTTTGTGTTTGGATATTCGACAATTATAACGAGACCAAGCCAGAGATTGGTTTCTATATCCTAACAGAAGCTAATTAGAAGCCTTCATCAATTGGACCATTCTTGAGCTAAACCAAAAAGGCACAAGCAGTACACACAGCATAGACAAACAAGAAATTTCCACTCACAGGGAACTTACCGCAAACACCTGATAGGCACTGTAGAATTTCGCACCAATAATCTACAAAATGGACATAGCTGCGAGGCGCCCACCACCGCCCGCCGATCGTCAAATTCCCCGGCGGCTCGGTCCACAATCGCGTCCCCTGTCACTGGCGGCGGCGAATTTCTGATCAAAGCCCGATTCTCGGAGTCGGCGGCTACAGAGTATACTCTTGCATCTAAAACAGGATCAAGTTATCACGACATCGAAGAGACACAAAGGAATCGGAGATGGGTTTATGAAATATACAAAACTTTATATCTTACCACTTGATACGAATTATATATACCCTATGATACGAGAATATCATGAGTGGTATAATTCGTACGAGGGGTAGTAAGACACATGTATTGTACCTCACTTGAAAATTTTGACTTCAGGGTGATGAAACATCCCCTACAATGTTTATAATAGATGTGTCCAGTGAAGGAGTCACGTTAAGTTTAGGGGAGACAACAGGCCCCCTCAACTTTCAAATGTATGTACATTTACATGTAAAAGTTGTAGCTAATTATAAAGTAGACTAGTTGGTAAGACACTAGCCTCGTTCAATTTTCACATGTAGGTAAAATTACATATAAAATTTGTAGCTAATTATAAAAGTAGACTAGTTGGTAAGGCACTAGTCTCCCTCGGCAATGATCACGGTTCGAGTCCTTCACATCAGAAAATTTAGCCCATTATTCAAATTTCTAACTCCGTCGCTGCGTGTGTCCACCTCCAATGTGTGTTTCTTAGTTTTGCTGGTTGAAGTAATTAATGAACTCAACATTACAAGTAATGTAAGCTAATTAAATCCTACGAGTATTGTCTTCGTCCAAGCCCATTCAGTTATGTCATTGAATATATTTTCTTCAATTCTTCATACTATGTGATGGTGCCTCGTATCTGATACCTCTAAATTAAGTAATCGAACTAACGATAACAAAACTATACAAAAATTATATTAATCAATTATCGTTGTGACAACTTGTACACTTCATCATCTTCAACAAAAGTATTAGTTTTTAATCTCCCGGCATGTTAGCATCAATATTTATGAAGCCTAATTATAACTTAATTACCCTCATTTTAAAATAATGTCATACAGGTTTTTATTATTTTTAATGAATGAATAAAGAACACTATATGGTTTATGTAAACGTATACATAGAGCAAGCCATGCATGACAATTTTGCATGGGACATTTTCCCATTTTGGCAGGATATGCATGGATGCATTATAAAAAGTATGTGTCACGTGACAACCATATAATGTTACGTTCGTATCGATAATAACTATCATGCAATCATAACAAAAAAAAAAAAATGCAAGTGGTCCAGTCCCCTTTCTCCTTTCCATAATTCTTTGTACCATGATCGATCCGAGGTATCTTGAATCATAGGGGGAAAAAAAGGTTACATTATTAAGTGGCGGGGTTCTTGTTCCCTACCTTTCTTGACAAATGTTCGCTTTCTTTTTTCTTTTCATGCACAAGCACCTCATATTTAAAGCTTCCACTACCCACCAGTTTCCAATTTTCGAACCAGCACTTTTGCTTTTATTTGATGCTGGTAGATTATTTCACTCGGGAAGAATTGGAAGGAAAACTAAGGCTGGTTTGAAGGTCGGGATTTCAATATGTTAAAGATTAAATTGTTTTTGGGTAAATTTTGACATATAATATGTATTGTCTTTTTTACGAGCCTACCTACAATCATTCAAAATGAGTGATCTAACAATCTTTATTAACTATTGTCTACACAACTTTTTTTTTTGTTATGAGACAATGCAAGTATATCACATCGGAAATACAAGGGAAGTGATCCTTGTATGTAAGTGTCCACCTAGTCCAATTGGTACTGGGCCTTTTGGGGAGGACACCCAAGAGTAAAACCTTTTGGGGATGATCTATTTTATTGTTAAGATGCTATAAGTTTCTCTACTTTAGACATGATTTGCATGTGCTTATTAAATTATCTAAATTACGTATACTTATATTTTACATAGTATGTGTCGTACTAAACAGAAATTTTTAGCTATTCTATAGCATGCATAAAAAACTTACGTTTTTACGCTTTGATTCTACGCTTTACGATTTTACCCATTTTCCGCTTCTAGGTAGAATCGCGCTTTTGACTGCATTGGTCATATGACAAATTTCACAAATTATTTCCTCTTCTGGTTAAGTCGAAACTAATCCTAATCTCTCAAATACTTAGTAACTCTCGATTCGCGAAACAAAGACACATTCATTTTTTATAATCCTAATATCCAGGAACTATTCATAAAAGTATCCTAAATTACCCATGATTAGATAAAACCCAATCATATGTTGTGAAAAATCCATGTGAAAAATCTAAATTAATGATTCTAATGCACGAGAACAAGAACGAGACTGTTAAAGTTGGAGGTAAAGAATCCAATGCTAGATGAGATGATGATGTTGAGAAGAAGAAAAAGAAGACATTGTTCATGAGGGATATACAAGTACCGGTGATGGGGAGCAAGACCACATCGTGGATGTTGTTGACTATTTGAACAAGGTAAAGTTTACTCCAATAAAATAGATCATTTGTATTTGCAAAAAGGTTTCCTTTAATTTTTGTGCTAGATGAAATGAAGAAAAACAGCAAAGAGTCTATTGAAATGCAGGGGGAAAAGAAGAGGCGATTATAATGGAGATAAATGTTTTCACAAAGGGAGATGAAGACATTGTTATAGGTAGAGATGATGATGTTACTCATCGTCGTTGAGTAAATGAAAGCAAGTCCAAAAAAATACGTGAAGTAATCTCAGAAAATGAGGAGTAAATAAAAAGGTAATTTGATCATTTTTTTAGTAGTTGGTTACTTCACATGAGGTTTGTCTTTCATTTAAATAAAGAATTTTAAGTTACGAGTCCGTTAGAATGTCAGAAAACACTATGATATTGATCCTTTTAAATGGTTCAAGTATTTTAATAATTTGAATTCTCTTATACTACCAATCCTTTTGAATGTTTAAAATATTTAAATAATTTGAGATTTTCTTATACTACCAACAGAACATTTATCTCACATACGAATTGCTACTATAATTGATGCGATGGACGAAATGTATCCGGCCAACTGACCGAGCCAGGAACTAGTCTAAAACTCCAAATATAAACACATACAAAGAGCCGCTATGGAGAGCGGCCTTCCGCACGCCTAGCACTAGCAGGTTATATGAACGTAGAAAAAATATAGCAAAGCCATGCATTGCATGTAATTTTTTTCCTTTGATATTTTGGCATAATGTGCATCCATGCATGCAATATATTTAATTTAATTAATTATGCCGAAGCTCACGTGAAGACCATAGACGTTACATGGCATATCCCTATCGTGCATTCACGAAAAAGAAAAATAATGCAAGTGGACCAATGTTCTTTCTCCTTTGTGAAATCTTTGGATCGATCCGAGGTTTCTTGAATCAAACAAAAATGTTACATTATTATTATTATTGAGTGGCGGGGCCTTGTGTCGCAACCCTCTTTTGACAAATGCTGATTTCTCGAAACGCAAACCCAAAAACCTGTGGTGGAATATTGAATGACCATACATTGGTTACACTTCAAAATTCATAAAAAATTAACCAGATATATAGATAGCTAGGGATTTTAAATTTCACCTATATGTGTTATGTGGGGTAAGTTAGCATGCTAACCCCTTAAAGGTTGGTTTTTTACACCCCTTTCTTATTGGTCAATTTTTTTTATTAATCATTTGACAAGTATTAACGAAAGTAGACATAATAAATGCAACTTGTAGAATTTAATACTCTTATTAAATACAAATTAAGAATTAAATACAACACATATAAGTGAAATTTAAAACTTAAGTCTACATATGGAGTTGACAATGGATTGGATAGAGTAGATATTAGTATGTATTTATATTTATTATATATAATGAACTTAAAACTGATTGATAATCGTACAATGAATTTAAACGACTCCTTCTTTGGACGACGACTCTTCTCCAATAGACCATGCACCTGCCGTCTACCGAAACAAATGCAGAATGTTCAGAAGAGAAAGCATTCCTATCTTCCTGCCTAACTTGGTGTATGAGAAAAGTTGCAAGGGTTTGTGGTAGGATTGATCCTCAACTGATTCTGAGATCATCCCTTTGTATATATAGCTCAGCGGAAATGAAAAGGAGAATGGATTACAAAGCAATGCCACTTGGCTGCTTTCCATTCGCCTATTTAAGTTTAAACAGTGTTTATAACGGTTGACCACTCTATTAACAACAAGTAATAAGGCAACTCGGTATATATAAAATAGTTCTAGCAACAAAGGAAATGTTTCAGCACTTCATACGTTTCTGTCCTGTTTCTTCCTCTTCGTGCTTCTACTTCTCTAATCCTTCTGCAATATGGATTTGAACTTGTCATGGTGATGCTTAGTGCTTTCGTCCACCTTCACCTTTCTCTCATCAACCAAATTTTGGTAGTGACGTATAAATTGTTCAGGATTTTGGAAAATTACCTTTAAAGCATGGTCCATGAAACCGTACCGTACCAACGGTTCAACCACGAAATACCAATATCGGAGGCTAAATCGGTAGGCGATATTTAACGGTCAAACGGTTGAACTACGGTTAAACCACGGTTTTATCCTAAAATATCATATCTCTGACTTTTCCGGTACGATATCCGATACGGTTTCATGGACCATGCTTTAAAGTAAGTAAAGGTATATAGCAAAGGTAGCACTTTATATCATGATTGGTGATGTAGTCTAACAGAGCGGCATTAGAATGTGATTAGGGTGGTTTTGGTTCGATACTTCATAAAGTAAGTTTTGTTCTTTTTTGGTTTTAGTTGTACTTGGCATGAAAATCGCATATAATCATCTAGTTTTCATATTTTAGTAAAATTTTTGCTTTTAGTTTACGGTAAGGAATAAGGATTCATTTTTAGTTCTGAAAAACAGTGAAAACCTTGTATCTAGAAGCTTAAGGACTCTTTTCAATATACTATGAGTAAATTATTTTTCTTGTAGCGGATAGTACAAATTGATTTTTTCAACTACAAAAAATAATGAAACATGTTAGCATTGAAATGCATTATTAATAATTAACTCGATCATAGTCCAAATGACATGGTATATTTTTCATCTTAAATAATATTTTAAGTAAATCTAATTGTCTTAAGAAAGCAGCTAGGA